GGGGGGGGGGCAGAGGCAGACTAGGGAGGAGGTTAACCGGGTCATCAGTGCGCTGGAGCTCCTGACCAGGAGGGGGGAGAGGGGAGGGGGCGCTAATGGGGTGGACGAGTCCCTGGGTCCCTGCACGACCTCCCCCGCCCGCCCCCACGCTCTGCGCTCGGCTCCCGCTCTGCACGGACAGGGAAGACCTGCTCCATGGACTTACACCTCCCCCGGGGACTTGTAGCACACTAATAGAGCTCTGCCGGTGCGGGGCGAACAGCGCGCGGCGGGCCCTGGGGGGTGTAAGGGGGAGGGGGGAGCGATATCAGGGAAAAGGACGGCGGTATGTGCGGCCGACGCTGACGACCTTTCTCTCCGACCAGGCGGCCGAGCTCTGTTTGGGGCGCACACAATTTCGTGGCGGCGGGAATTTCGAAGTAAACTGAGTAATTTTACGACAAGGCCCCTTGCTAACACCTGGCGAGCGAGGGGGCGTGGGCGTCGTTGTGGGCAGTGGTGGTGGGAGGCGCCCCCTGCTCCTGCAGGACCGAGAGAGTGAGAGAGGGTCGGTATAGCGCTGGTCACCAGGGGGCAGGAGAGAGGTTAGGGGTTGCGGCGGGCCAGGCTGCCGGGGTCCAGGGAGCAGATCATACCGCAAGCTGGCGTCCCCGGTGGCACCAGCCCCACTCCCCCCTCTTCTCCTCCCACACCGTGCATGGCGCGGTAGATAAACAGATTTATAGGGGCTTTGCGCCGACCCCGGCGCGCGCGCAGAGTGACCAGAACTGACCACCCCCGCCGCCAGGAGGAAGGACGCACAGGCGAGGCGGTGGGAAGGGGGGGGAGGGGGGCAACCGGGAAATAAGAGATGACCGAGTGGGTTATTCAACGGATCTGGAATAAGCCAGCGTCATGCCGTTAGACCGGCGGCGCCTCCGCAGCTACCGCAGTCGGGCGGTTACCAGCCCCACCCCGCCCGAGCCCGTGGGCAGTGCTTCCTCCAGGTTACTGTTATTGCTTCCTTTGCCCTCTCATTACCACCTCCGTTCGTTATCTGCCTCACTCTACGGACTGCTCTACGCGCCGCTCGTGCGAATAAGAGAGGTCGGAGGCGCGCGGGAAATATATAGGGGTGTGGAAAATCGCAAGGTAAAAATCGAAAAGTCGAACCACTTGCATATAGCAGTGAAAAAGAGAAAAATGCAATCATATGCTCTGCACATGCACTCGTCTGCAAGATTTCAATTCCTCTATAAAAGAAAAACTACAGAAGAGTAAACAAGGCTGAATTATCCGAGCTGTGCCTCCACTTTTCCGCAACCTGTTTACACCTTCCTCCGCCTCGGGGGCGGCGCAGCTGACGCGGCTGGTCAACTAGTACACGCCGCACAAGCAAATGCCCGCCGCCACCCTCCTCCCCACAACCACCATAACTCAGCGCGAATAAGGCGCGCGCGGTTTTAAAATCTGCGCCTCGCGCGTTTTCGTGAAATAAGGTGGCGCGGCAGTTTATGACCGACCAAAGGAGAGGGAGGAGGAGCTGCTCTGCGGCGGAGCGGAACCCTTCCTCCTTCGCCACCTTATTTCCTCGCCCGCAGCTCGGGCGTCACGAACACGCCCGCCCGGGCCTCCGAGCAAGCTAATGTACATTCCCGCCACCTCAGCCGTTTAGCCGCACGCCGTTTTCTTGCCTTTTTTACGGCCGAGTCGTCGTCGTCGCACAAATGACGACCATGACGACGACGACGACAACGCTGTTGCACTCGCTCCTGGCCGCCGCCGCGTTGCACTGTCGTCATTACCGTCACCGCCACTCCTTGATACGCCCCAGGTCCCCGAGACCGTCCTTTTGTCGGTAATTAAATCGCACTCGGGCAATCGAACAGGCAAACGGCCTCTGGTCGGCGCCCCCGGCGCGCGCAGCCCCACGCCCACCCACTCGAGGATTCCACGCAGTGACCGCTTTAAGGGCGCCGGCGCCGTAGGGCCATTCCGGCCGACATCCCCCTCCTCCCCCACCCCCTTCCCCGCCGCCACTGACCTTTGGCGAGGCCTGCTCGGTTTAGTTATGGCCCTGGAGGTCGCCTTTGAATTACCTGAAGCAAGCAGCGCTCTCCGGGTGCGGCGGGGCCTCCCCCTATCCTCCTCCACGGTCCCGGACCCGGCCTCGGCCCGGCGGCGGGAGAAATCAAGACCAAGAGCCGGCGTGCACGGCAGCCCTTAGTGTCCCATTACGCACCGGGCCGAAGAGATACGCCGCCGGCGTCCTCCCCTTCCCGCCCTGCAGCCGCAGCCCGGGGGCGCCCAACCCAGCAGCGGTTCGGCCCGCAGTTACCCTAGAGGCCAGGCTACCGCAATCTGGCCACCGCGCCGGCTTCGCGTCAAAAAACCTTATGGACACCAGAAAACTATGGGACACCACGAGACACCATAGGAGTCGTATTGGGTCCCACTGGTATGTAACAATATATTTGGCCGTCGTTCTCGCCTAGCTCTGTTCATGATAGTTTCGGGTCCGAACTGGGTCATAACAACAACGCGGCGATTTCTGGGGTCAACCACTTAGAATTTTTGGTGTACATGGCATATCTGGAATATTTTTAGAATATTTGGTATATGTTTGGTGGAATATCTGGAACACTTTTAGAATATCTGGTATATTTTTGGTGGAATGTCGAATACTTTTGGAATATCTAGAATATTTTTCAGTGTGTACGTGGATGGCCAAGTGGTTCACCGTTTGGATTTCTCAAAGAATGGTTGACAGCGGGCGTCGTCGTTCGCTCACCTTGTCGTCGTGGTCCAGCTTGTGGTAGGCGACGCGGTAGCCGCGCAGTGGGCCCGACGCGCCCTGCCACGACACGAGCACCGAGTCGGGCTGGATGTCCTGGATGGCGAGCGCCACGACGAGCTGCGCGCCGCAGAAGCGCGGAGGCTCCAGGTCCTGGAAGGCCTGGCCGCGCAGCTCCTTGGGCGACTCGCAGCGCAGCTCGGGCTGCGACAGCTTCTGGTGGTCCTGGAACCACTGCCACAGCTCCCACTGCTGGCAGCCGCAATGGAGCGGATTGTCTGTCGAGAGCAAAAAGCACACAAGAAGGTCACATTAATTTCATCCACGAAAAGACACTATTACACATTGAATTATTGCTGATGATAACGTCTTGGCATTTCAACCGAAAACTCCCAACTCCAGAGTCAATTTAATCTCGAGGGACGGATAGGGGGTAGGGCACCGCCCCGGCCGCCGGCCCAGCCCGTCCTCCATCGCGGTCGAGTCATAAAGACACGTAAAGTTGGAGGGGGGCAGCGCGTCTGCTCCAGCGAGGGGGGCGTGCTCGACCC